CTTGATTATCTGTTTTTTTAAAAGCAATATCGACATAGCTCTCCAGAAAGCACATTTTAGTTTCAGTATTATGGGTATAATGTTCTTGGCACTGGTAAAATGCTGTGTACATTGAGTCGCATCAGAAATATCCTTGAAAAATATCGGTGTATACTGTACTGAAGTGGAGGCTGAAAGGACCTTTGTCGAAGGTACGAATGCATTGTCGGCAGGTGCTTGCATATGCAATCTCAAATTGAAATGCAGAACGAACTCAGAACGTATGACTGTCAGAAACGTCAGTAATATATGAAATATTGCTAACTCATGCGAAAAGTTTTGTGTAAAAGTGAAACGTATTTTGTAAGGTGCAGAGCATCAAAATAGCGAATAATGTGTCCTTGCGAAACACGATGGTAATTGATTCGTTAATGACAAATCTCGAAGTGGTCAGATGCAGAGGCAATAGTAACGGTGTGGTAACAGTCCTTATGCTTTTACGGAAAATCTTTCTCATGCGTAGAAACTCATCGCGAACTAGATAACAGAAATATGCCTGACAGAGGTTCGTACTAATTCCTGCAGAAAACATGAAGTTACTAGCTACGCTACAATACCATGGTTAATTTCTGTTGCATATGCCTACGGATAGAGATAAACCATTTGTGTTCGATCCAAAAACTAGCGCTGTTTGCTGCGCATGCACAAAAGGTGCTAAAATACCATTGAGCTGTAGCCTGCTTAAATGGTCCCCTAGGACGGACTAAACATTAATGTAGATATCATTAGGGATAAATGTCATTTAGTATATCATATGCACATAGCATATTTCTGTTCTTGTGAGTTTTTCTACCGTATCATTTTTGTTATTTTGTGTTTTATGCGAAAAACCTATGTGTATGCTGAGAAGAAACTTACTGATTGGCTCGTTATAGGTGATAAAAGTCGGAATAATTCACACTACCGATCTTGATAAGTTGCACAAAGTTATCGTCATGATGGATTGTTCGATATGTAGGCTATCGCCTCGCTGGGGATACGGTTACTGCTCAGAAGTATACATTGACGCGACCTGAAAATTTTTAGCTCCCTATCTGGCAGTTTAGTTACCGATTCAATTTAGGGATCCCGCAGCGTTGACAGTAGTTTCAAAATTAAAGACGTAAATTTTGAGATTCGGATTTGACCAGCACATTCGCTGAATAGCTCTGATAATTATTTTGTTGTACCATTTTACTCAGTTGTATTTTCATATTTTTATTTTATTCTGTATCCTTTTGTTTCTTTTCTCTTGCTGCTCTTGTCATTGACGAAGCAAGCCATGGTCAGTTTTATTTACGAGAACACACCGTCATACTTGTGTCGGAAATATTTCTGTTTCACTGTATTTTTATGAAACTCGCGTTGAGGCCAAGTCAATACCACATTAAAGGTTCAGTGAAATTAATTTTGCTATTGAATATTTCTGACAGGAGAGGAAGCAGTCGTGAATACAGGGGGCAGGAAAAGGTATTATTTCAGATATGTGGGACATGGTTCAGAAAATAATACTATTACATACACTTATTATGAGCTCATTTTCCAGGTCGAATGATCAGAACTGAAATGCTCTGAATTTTTGATCAACAGGAGCTCACGAGTCGGCCTACTGTGGCAATACCCATCAGCTATGGAACGGACGACAAATCTAACTTGTCTACTGATTTCTGTGTGTTACGTTGTTTGGTGCAAAAACGTTCTTGTGCCATATATTTAGGCAATAGAATATTGTTATAATGAAATCTTTCATAATTTAATAGATTCTTTACTGAATGACATCGCATATCATATTCTTCAGAGTTCTGAATAATGACCTTTCTCATGCCGCTTCAGTTTGGTATCGAAAGAGAAAGTGTTAATGATCTATTTTTCTTCAGGGAATGACGTCACCAGCCAAAGAATGTTACATAATGATAAGTGCAATCGAATGCACTACACTGCTTTAACCGATGGAAGTGGAAACAACGTCCGAATTTGGTTCCGTTAAGAGTTTAGTTCCATGCCATCGTCCTTATTCATTCACCGGTTTGGCTAAATTAGCAAATCTTCCTTTATCTTCCGACGTAGAAATTTTTACTCATGGTGTATTCATTAATATGGTCCCACAGTATGCTGTGTTATTCTGAAACTGCATGTTCCACAGCCACTGAGTGGTTCTTTTCCATTGTTTATTCACCACATGCCGATCTTTCGTTTGTCATTGCCATTTTACCTTCTTTGACGTTGATCGGCGGTGCACCATCTTAGTCTATTCAGGTGTTCTTCATTCTTCTCTTTTATGGTGGTGCCTCAATTTCCTCTATGTAATTGAAGCCACATTCACAAACTATGGTATCCACCCTCGTTGCTTAAATTTTACCTCGATCATTTCGATGTGCATCAGGCGACTCCGTATTATTTGTCTTTTGAGACCTGAATACCAGCAGTATTCTACACTTAACAGGCGATCTTCCTCAGCTTCTCGCTTAGTTGTTGCACTTTTGGAACAACGACGCTAGCGTCCTTTTTGCGTTCTTTGTTTCTAGTTCATTCACTGTTGCTGCTCCTTTGCTTGCTTCTTTGTTAGGCGTTTGAAGTAGCCAGTGAGTCTCTGAGTGCTCTTCAGATATTGGCCGAATTTTTTTCGTCGTCTGAGCTAAGCACGATTCATCTGTTGGCAGTGATAATTTTCACGCTGTGTGTATGGCTGGAATTGAATGGCAAGAACGTGCTGGTGTCTGCTGGCATGTGAAACACCTGAGCAACATGCAGAGGTATGAACTATTTTAATCCACGATTACCGTGAATGATTTTTTCTGAATATATGGTATAACATGGGTATAACAAGAAGGATATTTGCTTGTCTGTTTCACGAATAGCCAACCGGTCACCAACATAATTGCAATCAAGTTGAGTCATTAAATCAGAGTAAATCGTCCGGAGTAAAGTTTAAAACTTTTTTTGTTAATGTACCCTAGGCTCGAGTAAATTCAATGCCTGACATTGTCGAAGCTCAGATTCCAGTAATTGGGGTTGGTAAGTCGCGGACTATGCTGGAAGCAGTATAGTCTGCCAGTACTGCCGTTCGCATAACCCGAAAAGCACAATAAGGTGTGAAAACTGGATGAAATAAATATTTGTCTAACTTTTTAATGAAATCGCCAATAGTCAAGATCGGTCGCAACTGATTTTGATTTTCAATTGATTTTCACTCAAAAACCGGGAAAAGGCCGCATTTAATTTCGCATGACTTCGTACAACTGTAATCGACGAAATGCTATGCATCCATGACACTACTTTCGAATCAATTTGTGACCTTCATACGTAGAATTAATATTGAACTCCGGAAACAAATCGATTTCTTCCCACAGCCTTGAGTGGCTAGGCAATTTGCGCAACTTTCTGCAAATTACATTTTGCTCCTGTTGATCTCCGAGATGCTCCAAGAACCGTTTACTCCAATGTGAAGCTTCAAATCATGGTACTTTTCTAACGTGGTTCGGTGTCCAACCGATACGTATGTAATACCTTCCTAAAATCAGAAACGTCTCACAATTACTGCCTCCTTGACCAGCACAGTCCCTTGACAAATACAAGTAACAAATATCTTTGATAGTACCCATAGAAGGATACCTACAATAGACACTGATGAAGGAAGGAAAGTTTGTAACCGATGGGATGTGGGTTCTCTTTACACTTTCATGACCAGGGACCATTTGTGATACCAATGGAATGTCAGTTTGGCAACGATGTGCTTCTGACCCCGCGATGCATAAAAGAAACTGTCGACCACTGTTCATAGCCGAAGTTCGATGGTGCCACTGAGAGACTGGTTATTGTTTCAAAAGACACTGAAAAGCGGCATCTGGTGAAAACCGTTTGATGATTCCGAGCATATATTTGTGTATACAGTATGGTCATAATATACAGTGTATAGTTATATAGTATATAGCGGCATATGGATGTTTATGCATGTATAGTTTATAACAGTAAATATATTGCGTTATGAAGAGGAAAGCTACACATCGAAGTCATTGAGAGTCTGGATGGTTTAGTACAGGTGTATCTTTACCTGTTGTCATCAGCCAAGCTGTTACGGGGACCAAAGAGGTGACCGCCACAGAAAATAATATCTTATTATGTTGTCTAGTTTCTGTATTGGTCCTTCGTTTGCTTCCATTTCTGTATCTCAAAAATTTTACTCTTTAGGACCATAACTTTAAAAGAACATACAGAGGCAGCTTTAATCCAAGCATAACCATTTTCAAAAGACGTCAGACATATCTTATCGAAATGCAGCTGAGAATTATATTCGAAACAGTTCTTACACAGGTCAATGTACACACGCTTATTGAAGTTGTAACGCAAAGTTTAGAAAGAACCTGTCGGAATGAATGAACCAATAAATTAACGAATGAACAAACTAGCCAATAAACAAATTAATGAATGAATGGACGAATGAGTGAATGAGAAATTTGCCGGAAGCATCTCCGTTACTTATTTACGTTAACGCAAAATTATCGAGCAAAAAATGACTCTGAAATAGGGTACGCTGAACCATGAACATATTTTTGGTCTTTGCAGCCGCAAAGAAAGCCACTTCTGACACATTGATCAGAAATAATATGAAATTCAAAACTGGCTTCTGACCGTTTTGTTTCTGTAAATTGATGCTTACAACTTGTGGTGATTCTTTGCTCAACCGTCAGATGATCGGTCAACATGAATTGCAACAGGACGGTGCAAGCATCAGACAAAATGGCCGTTTGTACCGCAAGCTTTTTTTGGTCGCACCAAAACACCACTCCGTCACTATTTTTCTCAGATAAACCACCTCTGTCCTTTTTTTAGCTCGTTGCACTGAAGAACAGTGGACTGAATTCCCTCTTCAAACGATTTGGAAGTTAAAAAGAAAAATTTGCGCTGATCTTGGGGTTTGAACTCGGAACCTCTAGAAAGCAAAACTAGCAAATACATTGCTCCACTGCCCCTTTCATATACTGTTATTTAGAACTTGTGCAGATGCCTTGTTTGTGGTCGAACTGATCTGTCCGCAAAAATATGGTTTTCCAAGAATATGAATATTGTCTAATTAACGTGCGAATTACATTAGTTAGAAAATTTTGAATTTTTAAGACCCGTTGATGATGTCGGTCGTGCTTACCTTACGGAGGCTTTCATATATGTCGCGTTCGACACCATCAGTCACCGCGCTCGTGGCTTCGTCCAGGAAGGCAATTTGTGGTTTATGGTACAGCACACGCAGTATCGAAAGCCTCTGCATTTCGCCCGGAGTGAGTACCGCACCCCTGTCAGTGATTAAGTTGGCATCAACAGTAAACAAACACTTGACGCATCCATTAATTTACCAGTCCCAGGTGATATCTGCCTCGAACCCGTTTGCTCTGTGCAAAAGTTGTTCAAGTTTGACCAAACGTAAGAGATCATCAAGGCGGGAACGTTCTTCCGGGTCTAAGCTATCGCATCGAAGAAATGCGATACAGTGCGTTGGTTAAAGATTTACCCATAGGCACAGCCGACGCATTGGTTGGATATATTATCTGCTGCCTGAGGGAACCTCTTGGAAAATAAGGTTTCTGAGGTGAGAAGAACACGTCTGGCAAACGGCATGGCAGGTTCTTTATACAAATACCTACAACCATATGCTGTTGTGAAAGGCAGCTGTTGACCACCACTGAA